TACGCGTCGTTAAAAATCTACATTTAAGTTCCGTGTCAATCACTGCTATTGACTGTTCATGAGCCTTCAACAATCCCATAGATTCCTTACTACCATAAAATGCCACGATACAACCACATATCGCACTCATTTGCAACTCCACTCATAATTTATGCTCGATCTACCATATAAATGCCACGATACAATCACATATCGCACTAATTTGCAACTCCACTCATAATTTATGCTCGATCTACCATATCATTGTCACATCCAATGCCACTGTTTTCAATTTTGAAGAGTGTAAGGCTCATTAGCTCTTTTGTTAGGATGTGAGGTGCAAAGTGACCTGTAGAGTACTAATGTATTCTTCTACAATGTGTGCAAGCAAGGCGCGACACCCCCCGCCCCCCATCTCACATTTGCACTGCCAGGCCTTTTATAGGCCTTGCAGTGCAGCTCGATTCATTCTAAATGCTATAATCGACGTTTTACTACTTATTTCTCATCTTTTAACCTGTTAGTTTCTCAGACATTTTTGGATTATGTTAATATTCATCTTATAATTAAAATGACTACGCTCAGAAACGGCAATAGAAGCGAGCTTGCACGCACAGGGACGGAGCTAGACATTTGACATTGTGGGTCAAAAATTGAAATAATTTTTTTTAAAACAACATATCATTAATGAAGATAAGTCAATACACTACTATAACTGCAGTCTACGCGTTTTCATACGCTGAAAACATTGCGTAATTACATCATTATTAATATGGACGAATACATCATTCTCGATATATGCAACCAAACTATCACTTAACAATTGATCTCCCATTCGATTACGCAGTCAATTCTTGACAATTTTCATTGTAGAAAATAATCTCTCTATCGTAGCAGTAGCAACTGAAAGAATCAACGCCAATGTTACAAGCCTGTAAACTAATGGGGACACCTCATTTTTATTTTATTTTTGTCATAACCAACTTTTCCGCAAGATCATTAAGGCCTCGTAACTCTTCAAAATCTTCGTGAGTGTGCATATCAATAATATATGTTTGAATTTGCTCTTCAAGTGTCAAGATCTCTATTGGTTTAAAATCATTGGGATAATATTCGCACAATTGAATTAATGTGTCCTTGTCGAAAGAAGAAAATGTATTATCCGGACATAAGCATGCAATATAAAGGAGTAAGTCGCTATTTGCTTCAGAGAAACGATCATTCAACTCTTGAATTTGTATATCAATGATAGCATAGAAGAAATCCACCCGAAAATGATGAAGATTTGTCATTCCTTGAGTGTTACACCGTGAGCGACCTAGAGGTATTAACGTATCATATATATTGAGAATATCAATGTTGTGTCTTTCCAAAAACAAGAAACTACTCTTAAAAATGAGTCTTATTTATTGTCCCTCGTTGTTTGGAGTCATTCTTTATATATTTTCACTAATTTCATAGCATTAACAATGTTTCTTGATTAAGGCCCTTTCCACTTGCAATTTCACCAATAATAAGAAGAGGTGAATATTGTCGGAGAAGAAGACCTAGTTGCAATTGATGAGCAAAACAATGAATATATAAAGTAAAGAACCTTAATAAAGAACCTTAAACGTATCATATATATTGAGAATATAAATGTTGTGTCTTTCCAAAAACAAGAAACTACTCTTAAAAATGAGTCTTATTTATTGTCCCTCGTTGTTTGGAGTCATTCTTTATATATTTTCACTAATTTCATAGCATTAACAATGTCTTGATCTCTTCTTTGTAATGATTTTGACAATTCATCATAAATATCCAATACTTTTTTCATGAGATGCAGACTGAATACAAAATTAAATGTCAACATAAATCCCAGCAAAATAGTTTCTTGATTAAGGCCCTTTCCACTTGCAATTTCACCAAGATTCAATGATTCAACAACTTCAAGCCTCTTCTTCTCCGACAATATTGACACTTTATCAAGAGATTGTCAAAATTTCTCCGACAATATTGACACTTTATCGCACCGCTTAGCCGATCCTCCAACAATATTCAACACTTTATTTACAAAACTAAAGAATGTTTCAATATCTGCATGCTTGTTTGGCACAACTACAAGAGCTAGTTGCAATTGATGAGCAAAACAATGAATATATAAAGCACTTGGATTATCTTTCAAAATAAGTGCTTTAAGACCAATATACTCACCTCGCATATTCTTCCCCCATCATAGCCTTAACTTCTTAGACTAAATATACTTAAGTTAGATCTAGAGAATAAATGATCAATAGCATCTTTAAGCGAGAGAGCTGTGGTACTAGACACATGTTCAACACCGATAAAACGTTCCATTACTTGTCCTTTCTTATTCACATATGTCTAACTTGTAAATTTGCCTCAATTTTTACAACTTCTAAAGCTACTCTTTCCTTTTCCTTTTTTTCATGTTCTTTGATAAAGTGCTTCTGGATATCTTGACACCTAACAGTTGGTACATGTTGATTGTTTAATTATTTCCTTGCACATGCCAAAGAAAAGTGAAACTAAAATGTTTGAAGTTACCTTTTATTGTGTTACTGGGAGGGAGGGCGGTGATTTGATTGTTATCTTTTCATTCTACATCTTCCGCGCACACATATTTTGGAATGCATTAAGAAGTGGGTGTTTTTGGTCAATGAGTACAAAAGGTTTTTGATGCACCCTCTTAAATGGGTAGATACGAGAATGGAGACCAAAAGTTGCCTAGTATTACAAGTACTATCTGCTTGCCGGTTCAATTTTCATTGCACTGGGTAGTGCTTGGACAAAAGAGAGTGATACCTTGTAAGCCTGTCACTAAAACCTTGGGAATTTCGCTGCAAGTGTGCAGAGAGAGATGGAGGAAGGGCTGAATAAATTTGGGTGTTTCTTCTCTCTTTTTTGGGGGGGAATTTAGGGCTTGGACTTGTGCAAATGGGCTTGGACTTGAACAATTGGACTAGGTTTTGCATAATTTACAGTTTTAAAATTTAAAAAAAAAGTTGGACAATATTTTGGATTAAAAAAAAACCAGAATTTTTTGTGGGGTCAATTGCCCCCACATGACCCCATGTGGGTCAGTCCATGTGCACGCAGGTCTATTCCCATTTCTAGGATTACATGCCATATCCCACATCCTGCATGGAAGTTACAATGTCTAACGAATCCAAGGCATTAGATGCTAATGTATAATCAGATTCCAAGCTTTGAAGAAACCTCAGAGCATCACATTCGGCTTAAATTCTTACTAATCATCTCTTTGGCGAATGCTTAAATTCACGACCATCCCTTAGTTTAAGAGCTTCGCATCTTCTAGAGAGGAACGGACCATTCATATGCCTACAATGTGCTGGAAACACTGCTGCATCTGTGTTGAGTTTCCAAATGCCCAGACACAGGGCTTGCCTATGATCAGGACGCCGCACAACTTGCTGACCCAAATCAAGCTAATTCATTCTATCCAATCCCTACAACATCAATTTCATGGCCTCAAATAAAATGGATGCTTCTCTCGATCTGCGCCCGTGTTTCACCAGAGCCACCTTCCCTAAGCTAAAATTGTAATTGATAGGCAAGGCCTCGTGGGAAATCCTCCAAAAGAAGAGATGCACCTTTGGAGGGATTGGTAGATTCCACAAATATTTCCACCAAGGTTGAATGGCATATGAACTTAGACCAACTTCACCAATTAACATTTATAAGTACTTAGTAGTGTTTATTTTCCTCACATCGTAGTGCCAAGTAAGTTCGTCCTCTCCAGCATTGACACTCAGTGGAATTGACTATATTACTTCCCTACAACCGGCAAAACAGCAATCTTAGCCATATTCTACCTACCGAGTTCTCTCATCAACTTTTCAGCCTTCCATACGGCACCTTTAGGAACTATTACAGGTTTAAAAGTAAGAGCATGGGAGCCATAGGTCAACAAATGGGCAAATTGCTTTCCAATTCCCCACTCTTCACCTCAATTCCTTTAATAAAAGCTCTCATCACCAAAGAACACTTTTCTACAGAAAAGAGTAACCCAAAGAAACTTGTGCACGGAGAAAACTGTCGTGCCTGTGATACTCTCTTTTGAGAATTTGAATAGTGAGAGAGGAATTCATTCGGTAACCTCAATTATTGTTTTCTGGCCACATCTTGCTTTCCACCAAAACAGTAACATAATGGATCTTTGCATTATTGAAATGGGTCAAGGGGAGTTTTGAATAGGGGAATTAGAATCATATGATCAAAATCCCACTAATGCAGGACCTTCACAAAAAGGCTATTGAGCAAATTTTCTAACATCTAGCTTGGCATGGTAACCAAAAGAAAATAGGACTCACATGATATAATGCCTCTTTCTCTGTACAAGAAACATCCATGGTCAAAGAGGCTATCAAATGCAATAAAGAATGAGTCTAATTTCTGAGTACTATATTTTGACATGAAGGCGTTTCTTGGAGAGATTCTAAAACTCCATTATATTCCACGAATAGAAAGTTCATGTCTCCTACATATAGTTCATTTTACTTAATCTAAATCCAAATTTATTTTACCTATGCACATATGCAAGCTTCATATGACAGACCAATTTAGACATCTAATCCAAAACAAAATCAGTATTCTGATAAGAGAAGTTAACTCTACCCAAGAAAGCCTTCACCACACAATGAACCCATGAAAGTCAAGTATAATGCCAACATAGACAAACCAAGGTTTCGCTACAAAAAGCACAACTGATAATCTTAACATTTAGAGAATCCCATTTGTTGTGACCAACAAAGTGTTACCATTTACATTGAAATCCATCACTAAATCTCAATTCTTTAAAACATCCTGCAACCAACAATAACACAATATAGCATATAATCACCAATGTTCCATAGTTAATTCTTTTTCTTCCAACTCATACGTCTAACGGGTAGGTCTTGAATTAATCAAAAGGTTTGTTACACTTGAGAAATCAAAAAAGAAAAACTTCATTTATCAAATTCATCACAGAAAGGCAAAACATAGAATGTGAAAGTAATTCAGCGGAGATACCCTGGGATCTTAATCCGAACAAAGAGCATACTCATGACATATGAAATCACCACAGATGCAACCCCAGCCGATGCATACGACACCTTGACGCTCTTGGCGCGGTTCTTGTCAAGGGCCAGATCCAATAGCACTATCCCGACACCACCGAGCACGAACATGAACCCAGAAGATAAGCCCTCAATAATATACTGCCCGTTGACCCGACCGGGAAGGAAGACGACAGGTTTGACCGCTCCAGTAAACCGGTCCTGAGTGGAGCCGATGCCAGGGGGCTCAACAATGACGTCGTACACGATCCCGGAGACGACCATGAAGTAGGTGAGGAGGATGAGGGAGTAGACAGTCATGGCGGAGGGGAGAGTGAATGTGGGCAGTTTCAGCCGCAGGCGAGGCGGGCGAAGGAAAGAGAAAGGGAGGATCTTTAAGATGTGGAACATAGGATCGATAGAGTCAGATGCCGGATCGAATTGGGTGGTTGCGGCATGGGTTTCCGATTTGGGTGGCATTTTGGACGAGTTGGTTGTGGAACGTTGGTGAAGATCTAGGATTCCAGTCTAGGTAGAAGGTTTCGGGAGGCTTTTAGTTAGGTAAGACACTCAATGGTCCCCCAAATTTGGATCCTATTTCAATTTAGTCCTTCATCTTTAGTTTGTTGAGAAATAACCACTCAGGTGTATTTTATTTTAAGTTGTTCATTTTATCTCGCAATTCTTGTTTACAGAAATCTTACTCAAACGGTATGTATTGTTTCACATTACCACTCGATTTATCTCCGTCCCCAATATCTTCTAGAAATTAAATATGAGTGCTTAAAAGGAGAGATGTCCCCCACTATTCAAATCATATTTTTGGAGATAATTTATGGATTTAGTTGTTATGGATTGATCTACTTCAATGTTTGGTTCATCAGAAAGATTGTCCCCCTTATATGAGTTCAACGGTATCTTGCTGTCAAAAGTTCAATACTGACACTTGGTTAAGACAAAAGATCGTTTAAGAAGTTATAGGCTGCATCGTCAAAGTCGAGTTCTCTTAGCCGAGAATAATGGATTGAGTTGAAGTCGCGTCAAGTACTCCTCGCAGAACAACAGCATAGAAACTCAGCAATAGCGAAGAAGCAACCTGAAAACTCTGTCCAATTAAAGCTTCGACACAAATCTCTATTGGCCTATTCCATCGCTCGTTGGATAGGACATAGTGACTTTTCCAAAGCTCTCAAATGCTTCATCTCCAAAGCTCAAATTCAGGTACGTAAACAAATACACACACGTGTTTCTGCGTGAGCGAATATAAAATGCTAATGAATGATAAAAGGAATAAGTTTAAATTAGGTACATCTGTTAAAGATGTGTTGCACTGCATTGGTTGGTGGTTGTATCGTGTTCACATATACAGAATGGTACAGCTTGAAGAACCATGAATTTTACATTTTTTTTTCTCTGGAGTGCTGGTAATATGACTTCTTGTGTTCGTAACTGCAAGAAGGGAGGAAATGGATTGGAAACATTGAAAATTTTGTGGATTGCCAATTGACTTTAGGGAGTCAATCTCTAGATACCATAATTTTCGTCCTGGTTTTTGTTTGTGTTTGAAAACGTTGATTAAAGAAGCAACTTTGATGTCTAGATGCTCGTGAAAATTCAGTAGCAATTCAGATCGTTGGCGTTAGGGACGGAGCCAGCCAGTTGAACTAGGGCGGTCCCAAAGTTGAAGAGGTGGGGGCCCACGGGCCCGAAATTTTTTTTTGAAACATTATTTGTTAAAATAAGGAAAGTTAGTATTTTGTGATAGAGAAAGGAAACAACGGAACATAAATTAATGTACGAAGACTTAACAAAAAAATCAAGAAACGTATAAAAGAAAGTACTAATCTTTAATTTAACAAAATCATATCTTATTACAAGTGTTCATTTCGAGTTCTCATACTTTGAGAAATTAATGTCAATATCAAAAGCTTGTATAATTACGGGTATGCTTCAATTTTTTTGTCGCAACCAACTTTTGTGCAAGTTCAAAAAGGCCGTGTAATCCTACAAATTCTGGATTAGTTAGGAGATAACTAAAAAAAAAAAAATTGAGCCCAAAAAATAAAAAACAAATAAAAAAAAAAAATTTGTCAAAAAATTGGGGGGGTCCAGGTCCCCCCCCACACCTCCGCCCCTGGTTGGCGTCGAATAGCTTTAAACATGGAGACGGTAGTAGAAAATGTGTAAAAAAAGGAGCTGGGGTGAAGAAATTCATCATTGATTGTCTGCCATATATGCGTGTAAATTCTGTTCTTAACCGGTTCCATGTTATGCTCTTGTAGTTATTTTACCGGGGACAGCATGCTGTAATCAATCCTGTTTTTGGTTCAAGATGATGATTGGAAGGCTAAGGCACTTGATTTGGAGGATGTATTCTCGAAAGTAAGCTACTTAACAAGACTATTTGATGCTCAATCACAAACCATTCATTCATTCGTCCTAAGAATTTACCTGTGGATTTCAAATTCAGTTGCCCATGTTGATCTTCCTCCAAGGCCAATTAAAAATTCCGAACCATCAATTGTTTATTCTAGAATTGAGATCATGGCAGCCGTCTAATGTACATTCTTATGCATTGGCATTAAGCACGTAACTGTGGGCGTGAAACGTCTTTTCTACATAGTTAACTATTGCTTAGCTATCGAATCCATTGATAAAAAGATGAAAGAGAAGATTACGAACGAAGGATAGCTTTCGGCAAAATGGTGACAAATTTGATCTGCCAAATAATAATATTGTGGAAACTGGAGAAGATGCTAGCGACATTCCATCAAAGGAGGATAAAGTCCAAATTAAAGAAAAGAAGAGAAAGAAAGAAAGAAGCTTTAGTTTTTCTATTTTATCTCTTGCAAGAAACGGTTACGGGCAAAAGCACAGGAAATCTTAGGCCAGTTTAAGGAAGGTATGTTTTTCCCTGTTACATTGAATCCCTGCATAATTTCTAAGTAATGGAATTGGAAACAGGGAACCTATGGGAGGTTGGGGACCTTCCTCGAGAAAAGTAGATGAAAAGCCGACGTAAACATACTAGGCGGAAGGATATACTCTCGGAATGAGAAGAAATTGAACTAAAATACAGCCTGTTTAAAAGAATATCTGTCTCGTGATCCCCGTACGGATGATTCGACAACCATGGTCTAAGGTGATGAGGGGTTGAGTCAAAAAATGATGTTAGGATAGGCTGAAATTTAAAATCTTTTAAACAAACTAATGCCATAAGAGATCAAGTTTAGGAGGTTAAGCTCGTGAAATTCACAACAAAGAATGTGCGACACTTAATGAAATAAAAGAAGTTTAAATATCTTGTCCTAAAATGTTCCACTAAATCTTTATATCTTTTCTTACCAAATAAAAAATAAATTTTTACCTTAAGAAATATAAACGTACGACATGACCAGAATAAGAAAATGATATATATTCACCAATTTTGACAATAAGCTATTCACGTTACATGTCATTAAAAGAATATTTCATAATTGTAGTCTTAAACAAATTTTGGATATTGAATATTGGGCTTGGGTTGGGACTAAAGTAGAGTTGGACTCCAAAAAATTAACCACATTTTGAGTATGGGCTAGGGACAGACTGTTTGGGACTCAAGTACAGAAGGGCTAACTCAAATATTTGGGCCAAAAAATTAAATTTCTCTTAATTTTGTATATGAGCTGGGGAGGGGGGTGGCCTGGAGTATAGCTCAGGCCTGTCCCCGCTTCGCAATTTCTCCTAAGTTGATTCATAATTATCACGTTAGTTTTAATCATCAACATTATGCTCTAAAATCAGTCGACTTTATTAGTTCCTTGTGTTGGCCATAAATTTTTGAACAAGAAGGTAATTCTGGAATTTAGTCAAAGCAAAAGACAATTCACCATTGTCCTCTATCTTGCAGGGACTCCCAACATGAAAAAATCAAGAAGCATGGTAACTATAGAGGAGGACAGATTGACCTTCAATCCCATTCGGTAAAGTTCAATTATTCGGATGTCGATACTAAACTCAAAACTTTTACATTTTCCATAGTGGATCCTAATGTGGTACTTTTGCATTATTGGAAATAAACTCAAGTCCAAGGAGTTCTCTGGTGCTATTCCTTCAAACTTATGTTATATTACATACAAGTGTTGAACTTTTCTTTAAACAAGATTTCTGGTGGTCATATACCAAAATGTCTAAACAATCTTACTTCTATGATTCAAGTGGCCGTATACAAAATTTATTGGGATCTGGTTGGGACTCAAGTAGAGTTGGATTAACACAAATATTTGCACCAAAAATTTAAATTTTTTCTCTCCATTTTGGACTCAAGTAGAGTTGGACTAACACAAATATTTGGGCCGAAAAATTAAATTTCTCTTAATTTTGTATAGGGGCTGGGGAGCAGGCCTGGGCTATATTGGGCCAAAAAAATTTCTTAATTTTTTATATGGGCTGGAGAGCAAGAGTGGACTATAGCCCAGGCCTACCCCGTGCTACATCCATCCCTTTATGGGATAATTTGACAAGATATAATGGTGAAATGTAAGTTTTAGGATTATTCCCAATGACGTTAAACACCACCCTTTGCGACCAATCAGGGATAGGAAGGTGTCATCCCCTATCGTTAGTCCCGCCATTATCACCAATCATGAGAAAGCAGTGATTACTTAGATTACAAGCAATGATAATCTAGACTCAAAGTTATGAGCTAGACATCGTGATGATTTAATTTAACTAAACTCCTCAATCAATGGAATTCACTCAAGAAGGGTGGTGGCACACAATTCGATGACATGCATTATAACTTTACAAGACAAGGGGTGGCAAGTCCCTATCTAAAAGTCTATTATGAAGCAAATGTCCAACGAGAAAAGCCTAGCTCAATATTTTCGCTATATTACTCCACAAAACCTCACTCAATAAAAGTACCTTTCCTTTCACGATTCCAACAAATAAACACCATTATTCTACTCATTTTTTCCTAAGTTGATTCATGGTAATCACATCAGTTTTAGTCATCAACACTATGTTCTAAGATCAGGTGAATTTTTCGGTTCACTGAGTGCACGTCATAAATGTTTGAACCTGCATGTAATTTTGGAATTTAGCCAAAACAAAAGTCGATTCACCCTTTGTCCTCTATCTTGCAAGGACTTCAAACACGGGAGAAAAAAAAAAAAGCAGGGTAACTATAGAGTAGGACAAATTGACCTTCGATCCCACTCGATAAATTTCAATTATTTGGATGTCGATACTAAATTCATGCTTTTACATTTTTCATGGTGGATCCTAATGTGGTAATTTTGCATTATTGGTCCATGAATGAGTCTAATTTTGAGTTATTAAATTGTGTATTTTGAGTTATTTAAACTATGTACAAGTCATCTTATTAATATGTTTATTTTTCAGCCCAGGTTTTCTATTTCTGTTTCACAATCACCCTTGACAAAACCATGTTTTATGCTTGTTTTGATTTCATTATGAGTTATTGGAATTATTATGTG